TGGAATAGAAAGCTGAAACAAACCCATTCCTCCCTCCACACGTTGATTTTGGTTTTGCCCTAACTAAAACAACATCCGTCCTCCACTCCCTTCCTCTGCACCCCAGCCCATCACTCTACCAACTTCACAGCCTCCTGTTGTTGATAATTTTTACTCAGAGGAGAGGAGAGGACAGTTTGTGTCTTCACCTCAGGAAGAGTCCTCTGGATACCCCCAGCCCTTTGATGACCGACCAGATGGCAAAGTGGTCTGAAGAGAAGGGGCTGCAAAAGAAGCCAAGTTAATGAATGTATCCAGTCTCCTTGATGATGGTTATTATAATATTAGAACAAGATAATGCTTGTGTGAGTTGCTGGGTCTGAGAGGAGTTGCAGTGTGCCCCGAGAACAATGTCTTGTGTTTTAGAGCGTGTTTCCAAGAAGACAGGTGCAGATAATATCCCACTCCCCAGGGGCTTGTGGTGAATGCCACATCAGCCTTAGAAGAAGGGAGAGCCAGAATAGCAGGGTTTGGGAGCACAGCCACTTAAAGACGATCACTGGGGTTTACCTTCCCTTTCGCTCACTGGTGTGGGAGTGAGCAGCAAAATTTGACCTGACTTGAAAAAGAGCATCTGTCATCTCTTTCTCCTTTAGTCTTAATTTGTGGCTCCTTCAGTGTGGATAACTGATAATAATAACTAATCAAGGAAGATGACATGGATAAAAGTCACAGAAATGGGAGCTGAAGGGATTTTGTGCCTTGCTGCTCTCTCTCCCTCCCCTGGTTCTCCCTGTCTTTTCTTCCCTTCCCCTCACACACAGACACAGACAGACAGATAGACAGACAGACAGACACACACACACACACACACACACACACACATTCTGCCTTCTAGGTATACAGAAGAAATGCCTCCAGCTATTTTGAGTGATGCAGAGATAAAGCTCACCAAGGAGTGGAATGAAAGTTAATTATTTAAAGGCTTCAAGCCTGGGGCTGGAAGAAATGTCCTAGGTCTTCTGAGAGTCCAGCCATCGCCCTGGGCTTAGCATAAAGGGGAGTGACACATTAAACTATAGCTCCTGAGTGAAGACATTGCAATCTTCCTGAAGATGAGACATTTAACTAGGGTGGCAGAAGCAAGGACGACCAGGCTCCTGGAAGAGTAGAAGAGAAATGAAGAGAAGGAACAGGTGTCTGTGTGCCATGTGCATGCCTCTGTGTGTGTGTGTGTGCTGGTGAAGCAGGGCTAGAGACACAGTAAAGAAGCAACATTTAACAATAGTTCTGCCTCCCATAATCTGTCTGAGGGAGAAGCTGAGCACCAGATGGTGTGGCTCCTAGGCCTTCTCCTGCCATGACTGCGATCTCGAGCAATTCATTTCCTCCGAATCTGTTTCTTGTCTACCGCTGACTAGCACTGAGAAGAGTGCAGCTAATAGAGGGAATCATGGGAAATTGTCATGGTGTGGTCTTGGTGTAGAGGTACTTCAGATGGCTGTAGATGCTCTTCGTGTTGAAGGAAGACCCAATGACTGGGGTTAGCCTACTTGAACTTCTGTCATTGGACCCTCATCCACAAGCATTCCTTCACTTCTGAGGTTCTACTGTTACTGTTGCAAACACATCCCCAAAGAGAATCACTTGCAGACATTTGAGTGACCCTTGAAGGCTGCTCTGCAGATACGGATGAGTGGCTGGCTCGTGGGACCAGCTTTATTTTCCAAACAATCTCTACCCACTTCACCTTGCTAAGTTGCCAGGATAGCCTCAAAACAATCATCACATGGGGTCCTCAGGTTTTTCCCAATTTCAGAAAACTGTTCATAAATATGGCTCAACAAATAATTAGTATATTGGTAAATATTGACTAGGAATACAATGGTCATTAGAATCTATGTAGGACCCCAACAAAACCTGTTGATGTTTAATCTTTGTGAGACAGTAAAAAGCGAGGCTAGGTGGGGCCTTTAAGAGGTGACTGAGTGAAAAAAAAAATTCTGTCTGCCTGGATGGTGCATGCAGTTATTGGTCCACGGATCATCTACCTGTCATAAAACATGGCTCCTATGGCCATGTGATGCCTGTGCCACCTGGTGATTTGTCAAAGAGTCTCCATCAGCGAGAAGGTTAGCACAAGATGTAGCGCCTTAACCTTTGACCTTCCAATCTCTAGAACTAACGTGAGCAGTGCTTTGTTCTTTATAAATGGCCTGGCCTGTGGGCACTAATGCAGTTGTTATAGCAACAGGAGACAGACTAAGACACACAGAATGGACAACTGGACTCCACATTAGTCTGGGAGGCAGCACCTCGGCAGCTAGAAACATTTTTGTTCTTCAGAAATGCGATTTTCACTGCTCTGAGAGATGGAGTTGTCTGGTTCACCTCACCCCTCCCTATACTCCCTGATGGCGACCTTGTAACCTTAAGGCTATTTCTCAATGCCTTGACTCTCCTTGGAGCCCAACGTGGCCGAGTTGGAAGTGTGCTGGTCCCCGCATATGTTCTGTCACCCTGCTGTCGTCTCTAGCCTGTCCATCTAGCATATGACACATGAATGTGGGAATTGAAGCAGAGTCCCCCCGCAGCAGCCCAGCCTCTATACAACAAAACACAGCCATTCATACAACCTACACACTCCAGAGCAAGAGACCACTGTGTTTTACTGCAAGCTGTTCGTGGCCTGTGCTTGATCATCCTATGTCACCATGGCAACAAGCTAACCTTCGAGCTTCCTGTCCTTTCCCTGATACTCAAAGACCCAGACTTTGTTTGGGGCAGGGGCAATGCTTTTTACAAATTTTACAAATTGGGAGGACTGTCTCACAAAGAAAAAATAGAGATATTCCTTTTCAAAGAAGCCCAGACAAAGCATGGACCCTGTCTTTGTGGCTTTCAGAATGTTTCAAGGAAGGAAATAGAATCTACTGGAGCCGTGTCTTCCAAGACAGGGTGCACTCTTTGTATCCCTGCTGAATGCACACTGGGTTTACATTTCCTCCTAGGTACTAAGTTTAGGCACACACAGGTGTGTGTATCAGGGAGAGACTCTCACTCCGTGGTCCACAGTGCCCTGGAATTCTCCATGTCCAGCGGACCTCCGACTTTCAGCTGTCCTCCTGCCTCAGACTGCCAAGTTCTAGATCGTGGGTTTGAACAACTGCTTGGGGCTCTGCTACGTTTAAAGTTAAAAACAAGGCTCCTTAGCAGTGACCGCGAGCCTTGCTGAAGACAGTGCTGGAGTTTGGTGACTTACCTTGTAATCGAAGATCTACAAAGAAGCTTAGCTGTTCGAAGGAGCCCAAGCAAACAACAGAACTAAATAAAGTGTGTGTCTGAAAGCAGAGAATGCTGAAAGATTGAAGCTAAGTTGTAATTCACCCATTTATAAGAAATTCAAATGAATATATTTGAAAGGTAGAGGGGGACCAGGGTGGTCCATGCTGCAGCAGTTAGACCTGGAAACGTCAGTGTGAAGCCGTGTTCTGATTAATATAGATGTTTACACATGGAATATTTACATATACAGGGGGGTGAGAGAGGTCAGGGTCGCTGAACACACATAATTCCTCGTCTTCCAACTAAGGGAGCCTAGAGCTTACAACACAGTTAAAGTCTACCTAGACAATCTTGGAGTCCGGCACAGTGTTCTAGTGGGAACCAACCGGCCCAGGAGTAGGAGCTGTGCATAGTGAAGTAAGGAAGAACACAGGAGTTGGGGAGGAGGAGGGGCCAGCAGCCACAGGAGCAGAGGCTGGAGGTTAAGGGAGGGCAGAGGAAGTCCTGGAAGAGCCGAAACACTGACTGACAAAGGACAGCACCACCAATCCTGCCGTCACAGAAGCAGGTTCCACTTTTATCTAGAGAAGTTAGACCCCCTTTGTGGAAAGTCCTGAAACAGCCAGATCTACCTCCACCGTCACTGGATGCAGTAGAGACAAATCCAAACAGGTCATGGAGAAGGCAGCTCGAGATACAGCCCCTGAGGAAGTGTGCCACCTACCCAGACAGTTGCACTAAATTGCCGTTTTACATCTGCGAAACCTGGGAAGGTGCAAAGAGGCAGAATCTGTGTGCGTGCGCACATGTGTATCTGTGAGAGGAGAGAGAGGCTGAGACCCTAGCAAATCTGCTGTTTCACACTGGCGTGTTAGTAATGTGGAAAATGTAAAGCCCTTCAGAGCAGGGTTGCTGGCAGGGTGACTCACTGTAGGCCCCAGTCTTGAAGGTTGTTGTCTTAGTTCACCGTCACTGCTGCAACCGAATGCCTTAGACTGGAAGAGCCAACAACTGAGATTTCTTTCTTTGTTGTTGTTTGTTTGCTTGTTTTTTTTTTTTTTTTTTTCGAGACAGAGTTTCTCTGTAGCTTTGGAGCCCATTCTGGAACTAGTTCTTGTAGATCAGGCTGGCCTTGAACTCACAGAGATCCACCTGCCTCTGCCTCCTGAGTGCTGGGATTAAAGGTGTGTGCCAGATTAGGGCTGGCAAGTGCAAGATCAAGGGGCAGGCATGTTTGTCTGGTGAGGACCTCGTGTTGTGACACCTCACACATCAGAAGAGACCAGCGAACTCTCTGGAATTTTGTTTTTTAATAAGGTCAAAAATTCACTCATTCTTCCCACACCAACCCCAACCCCCATTCTCCAGTTCTCTCAAGACCAAACCGGAGGTGGCTCTCAACACTGCTCCTTCAGCTCTCTGCACCGCTTGGTAACTTGCTCTGGCCCGACATTGAAAACCTGAGACCCGCAGCTTTGTAGCCCTCCTAACTATGACTTAGTACTGCAGCCCCACCTTTAGTCACGCCCTGGTCTGCGGCCCAACCCCGAGGAAGCTTTCAGCTTCCCGAGGCTCTTCTCCACTGCCGGGCCTAAAAGCCCCGGCCTGATTCGCTGCCGTCGTTCCGTAGCAAAGCCCGCACTGGTGTCTCGTTCTGCTCATGAACCCTGCAGGCATGGGCAGTCTGGGGTAAGAATCTTCTGCCGAACCACGAGAGTGAACGAAAGCAAAGATCTATGGCCGCGGCTAAAACAGTGGATTTGGCGGAAGCACTGGCCCTGGGCCCCCCCTGGCGACATCTTTGTTACGTGATGCTGTATGCGCCCAATCCAAAGAAGCTCTTCGGCGGCCGCATCCCACTGCGCTATTCCGTACTGGTGAGGAACAACTGCTTGCTGCCCTAGCTCTGCGCCCTTCCTGAGGCTCACCTTTCCATCTCCCAAATAATCCCCACTCCCTCCTCTCTCAGATGTACATGCGCTTTGATGGACGACTGGGCTTCCCTGGAGGTTTTGTGTCCGATAACAGCCCCACCCTGGAGGACGGGTTGAATGACGAACTGCTGAAGAGGCTGGGTGAGGGTGTGTCCACTTTCAGTGTGGTCCACAACGACTACCGAAGCACCCTCAGCGATGACAAGTCGAAAGTGGTGGCCCACTTCTATACTAAGTGTCTGACCCTAGAGCAGCTCCAGGCTGTGGAAGCCAAGGCACCGCTAGCCAAAGACTATGGATTGGAGGTGGGACTTGCCTGGGATCTCTTACCCCTACCTCCCTTCCCTGTGGTCCCTTTTCAAGGAAAAGCCCCTTGGGAGGTTTTGGTCCCCTGCCATTTTGTCCCTCCCAGTGTGCAGGACTAGTCAAAACTCTAAACATCTCCAGGCTGGGTAATATTGTCAGTATGGCCACCTATGAATGAAAGTATTACACACACACACACACACACACACACACACACACACACACACACACACACACCATGACTGTCCTCTGCAGAGATTTTTCTAGAACACACTCTCCCAAGTATGATAACGATCAGGCATGATACCACAATAGCAGTTTGGGCCCAGGGGAGTAGGCGCACAGGTGTATACATGGAAGGGAATTCTCCAATTCTGGCAAGTACCAAACTCCTGGGGAGAAGGGGAGAAGCGACTCCTGCCTTCACACTGGTAGCTCCCTAGGGAGAAAGGAACTTGGAGACTTCCCTCCGAAAACCCTCCTTAAAAAGGCCTGTGAGTCTGCAGTTGTCTCGAGTTCCCCAGCCAGGCCTACACAGCTGGAATAGAACTCCTCACGTACAGGGCTGTGCCTGCGTCGGCCACGCCTGGATTCAGGCCACAGGATAGCGCTATAGGCGGGATTAGCGTGGAGACGGACCCAGCATGCCCCGGGAACCTTTACCTCTACAGGGTTATACCCAAGGGGCCTCGCAGAAATAGGAACGCTTGGGACTTGTTCTGCAGGGGTATCTGCTCTAGAAACTTTGCTGCTGCGGTGAGAATTATGTCTTGTCCTGTTTGCTCCCCTTCACAGGTCTTCGGCCTGGTGCGGGTGCCCCTGTATATCTTGCAGGATGGCGTGGGAGGCCTGCCCGCTTTCCTAGAGAATTCTTTCATTGGTGCTTCCAGGGAGCAGCTCCTGGAAGCCCTCCAGGACTTGGGAATTCTGGATCCTGAAACCATCTCAATCCTAAAGGAACGAATTATACAAAGGAGGCTGAGATGAAGGACCTTGGTTGTAGGAGTCTGGGGGGGTAGGGGGTGTTTTCTGGGCCTGAGAGATGGCAACAGATACCAGATTTAAAAGGCAGAAGTGTAACGCGATGTGTTTTGAACAGAAGATCTTGTCTTATGGCCTGAACATGTGAGTCCTTCCCTACAATGTGCACACAGACCCGGGGACCCCAGATATGCACACGTGCCATCTCCCTCATGTCCACTTTAACCAGGAACCGGCATCCCCACCTCCTTGCTAAGCAAGGGAGAGTCCTTCCCTTTTTGTAATACTGCCTTCTGGTATCCAGCTTCATGTTCGCTGGAGGAGCAGAGGCAGGGGATTTCCCCTTGAAAATGGCTTTACCTGAGACTCCACCAAACCTGCAGGTTCCATAGAGTTGGGAGAGACCTTAACGAGCTTTGTCCCTCTCTTTCTTCCTCCATCAACTGGACCTAAGGGCCAGAAGGTGGAGACGGCATCTGGGCTTGACTTTGATTGAACATAAGACCTCCGAGTGTTTTGCCCTCTCTGGAGAATTTAGGAAGGGAATTGACCCAGCCTGTCTTGCCTGCCATGTTCTAGGGAAAGACGCTGTGAATGGAGCCTCTGGGCTCTTCAGCTTCCCGGTGTCGTAAGAAGGCAGAGACTCAGCCCTGCTGGTGAAGATTCCACTGAAGGGCCAGATAGTGACCCGTTTAAGCTTTGGGGACCACACATTTTCCCAAATCTGGTTTTGGATGGTTCTAATAGATGTTCATGTACTGCATGGTTAAAGTTTGTGCATCTTGTGTAGGGGCTGAAGTGTGCCGCTTTCATGGATGAACACACTCCATTAATCTTGGGATGCTGTTGTTTGTATTGTATCTGACTGGCAATCTTTGCCCTTCTTGCACTTAGACACTTACAATTTCCCTGAAACCCCCGTCGTAATATTATTGATGGATGGTCCGTTTTGTCATAAAGAGGGATTCGTGCAGTTCTCCTGGACTGTGGAGATTTAGTTACCACAGCGTGAGTTGGCATAAAGTGAAGACAGTTCTAGAAGTTTGTTTCTTCCTGGCATGGTCATTTGCTCTGTGGTTGCCTGTATGTGCTGACGCAGCAGGAGCTGCTAACCCGAAGCTGAGCAAAAGTCAGGTGCTGTGCCTTCTGGACGTCACAAGCTCTAGAACCATGGTTTCCCAGTATTCTATGTGGACTAAGACAGCCTTGCTTCATCTTGCATGTCATATACTGTGTTTCATAGCCCCAGAATTTGTAAGCATTTTAGTGACATTTATCTCTTAAAATGCTACTTTAGTCTTGTATTGTTTTCCTGACTTTCTAGAATTGTGTGTGGGTCTTTGTTGTTTGTTTGTTGTGTTTGTTTGTTTGTTACTGGGTTTCCTTGAAACAATTGTTTCCTCTGTCAGGCAATTTATAAATCTTCACACCTTTAGACTTGGTTATGATGTTTTGTCTTTTGGTTTGGGTGGGATGTGTGTTTCTGGCTCTTGTTCTTATGGTGGTTCAAAGTTGCCAGAGAGTATTTCGGGAGACCATGGTGGCAACTTTGAGGCCCTGATCTGGCCTTGGACATGAGCAGTGTAACTTTTTCAAGCTATTCAAAGCCAGCCAAGACTCAAGGGTAAGTAGGTTGAAAGTCGTTTGCTGTTGTGGGGTACGCTGGCTAGTTTTATGTCATCTTGACACAGAGTCATCAGACAGAAGGGAACCTCAGCTGAGGAAATGCCTCCGTAAGATCCAGATGCAAGGCATTTTCTTAATTACTGCTTGACAGGGGAGGGGCCCAGTTGGTGTTTTGGGGTTCTATAAGAAAGGAGGTTGAGCAAGTCATGGGAGCAAGCCAGTAAGCAGCATCCCTCCATGACCTCGGCATCAGCTTCTGCCTCCAGCTTCCTGTTGTACTAGTGGCCATGCCAGAGGAGCAGAAGGTGGCAATAGAAGTTCAGGTGTCAGCCCAAGAGGAGGAAAATCCTTGATGGGTAAATCTCAGATAGGTAAGGCTGTAAGATCACAGACTGCAGAATGTCTTTTGCTTCTGCTGTGCCTTTACATGTCTGCCACCTCTATCTTTCTCTGGTATCTGGTATGGTGGAAATGGGTGTGGGGAGATCCCCACTGCCTATAATGTAGCGTGTTTATCTCATGGAAATATTCTGTCCTATTGGGCATTTTTACCTGTGGATTATTATAAAGATGATTTCTTGCTAGGCTGCACTGTCTAATTGATAAAGTTAGTGTCAATAGAGTCTTGATGATTAAAAAAAGAACAAGGACATGTCACACAGCTAGAACACATGAGCTTCTATTGAGGAGTCATACAAACTGTGACGTAGGTTAATTATTTTAAAAAATGGACTCCCAGTAGTCCAGATAGTTTAAATTCTAATCTTAATGTTGGGAGATGTGTTTACAGGTTTTCGGGTGCAAGATAGCCGAAACAAAGCTTTGAAAATAACTTAAGACTACAATGTTTTCATCAAATCGCTTTGAGGTGAAAAACCCAAGAAGACAATCTAAAGTTTTAGAAAGGCACAGAGCTGAAATGAGGAATGTGTTAAGGTCAGGAACAAGAACAAAGCAGCCCAGTTATCATTAGCAGACATGTCTTTTTTGCTAGGATTGGTGGTTGATGAGTAAAGGTGATGATTAACTTCTTACACCCATTTCTGCCTCAATCTCCCGATAGAAGAAACTACTGATGTGTGGGTATGTACCGTAAAGGTTTAAGGTAGAGCTCACGGATTCTTTTCCATATATAAAAGTTTAGGTGTGTGATTCCTTTAAGATTCCTTACAAGATTACCTTTCAAGATAAGCAGCAGCTGGAGGCCAAGTATCTGAGCCTATGGGGGCAAATGGAAGCATCCTTGTTTCTCTCACTGTTCTAGAAGCTTAAGAACATGACTCTGATATATGCTTTGCATCTGGTGGGGGCATTCTTACTGGTAAGGATGCTGCCATTTTCCAAAGTGGCACACGGCATGCCATGGAAAGACAGAGAAAGCTTGTCAGAGAGCAATTGTTTCCAGTACAACTCCACTTGACAAAGAGCTCATGAATCTATTAGTCCATGAGTAGATTAATCTCTCCTGATTTAGGAGAACCTCAGAAAATTTTGCCTGATCCTCATCTCCTCCTCCTCCTTATTTTTTCTTCAACAATATCTCACCATGTAGCCCTGGCTGTCCTGAAAGTTACTATGTATACCAGGCTGGCCTCGAACTCCGCCTGCTGGGATAAACCATGTGCACCACTATGCCTAGCCTGATCCTACTTCTTTATTCCTCGCATGAGGATTACTTTCAACATGAATTTTGTTGGAAGCATTCAAACTTTGACTGCATTAAAAAATGTGCACAAAACTTTTGTAAAGTTGACTGAAATTATTTGCTAAAGTTTGTCCACTGACAGTTCGTATTCTGGAGACTTCGCCCTCACTTTAGTTAGCAGTTAACTTTGTGAAACAGCCTGACAATGACGTGGCAGCTGGAAAGGGTGCAGTGTGGTGGGTTTAAAAGAAAGGAGTGTTTGGTTACAGAGAACCCAGGAGATCTTACTCCAGGTTCAAGTGTGAGGGCATGGGATGGCTGGTCACAGCCAAGGGCACTGCTGTAAAGTGTTGTATGGAGGAGCAGGCCGTGTCTCACTGCCCGATTAGCTTAACTCCCCAAAATAACCACACAGAAATTGTATTAATTAAATTACTGCCTGACCCATTATTTCTAGCCTCTTATTGGCTAATTCTCACATCTTGATTAACCCATTTCTGTTAAATCTGTGTGTCACCACACGACTGAGGCTTACCGGCAAGATTCTAACCTACGTCCATCTCAGGCTGGAGATTCATATCATCTTCCTGTCTCTGCTTTCGTCCTCCCAGAATTCTGTTCTGTCTACTCTGCCCACGTAAGGGCAGCGCTATCAAAAGGCCAAGACAGTCTCTTTATTCAACCAATGAAAGCAACACTCAAACAGAAGAACCTCCTCCACCAGTAAAGGTTCAGGGGGGATGGGGAGGTAGACGGGAAATGAGCAGACGAGGGGATCATGAGATCAGGAGCTGACGTGTTAGAGAGGTCAGGTAAACCGGGCTCTATCCTCAGTGACAAAGAGGAGGCACAGAGACAATATGGCAGCAGAAGGGGAAAGTGGCCACACCAAGACATGCCCTCCTGGGACAGGATCTCTTGAAGGAAGAAGGGCGAATAGAGGCCTGGAAGAGTAATGCAGGATCATGTGGACTACAGCAGGGCCCCAATTCTTGGCGTTTCAAATATGGGGTAGATGATCAGAAACAGCTCTAACATCGGTGCCTAGAAGATTCAATTGCTGTGTCTTATCCTCTGATCTAACCCAGAACTAAGGGCCACATGTCGTCTGGAAACTCCCAGGTGGCTGGCTAGTCAAAGGGAAGGGAAGTGTGTGCGTGCGTGCGTGTGTGTGTGTGTGTGTGTGTGTGTGAGCGTGTGTGTGTGTGTGTGTGTGTGTGTATCCTGCCAGGTACCCAGCCTGTGCCAAGTACATCTAGGTTGACACTACAGGACCTCAGCCACTTCTGAAAAGGATGTGAGGATCCCTGGGCAAGGACTTAAAACCTCCCAGCTCAGGTTACGGTTCTGCAAGGAATACTGAACCCAGAGCCCATGCTTAGGGTTGCCAATGATTATTTTTCCAGTTCCCATGATGCTCTGCTGTGGCAAAGTTAAATGTTCTCCTAACCTGCTCCAGGACCTCCTTGGATGGCTTCAGTTCCACTTTTTACTTGTGTGACACTGACTTAGTTTCTGTGCTCTCTGGTCCTGGTGAGGGGCAGATGTCTATAGCTCCCCTGCCTTCTCTAAGGAACATCCCTGTCTCCCAGGCAGTGGGGTCCTTCACCATCAGCCATCACACACTTCTATGGACTGGTTCAGGAGGTGCCTGCCTGGCAGGAGGGAGAGAGACAGGCTAGACTGTACATGTCTCCTTTCTCCAGCTCCCGTCCTGCTGGGGGATGCTCAGCCA